TCTCACTCCCTGCTGTGTTGGGTTCTTCAAGTTAAAGCACAAATAGGCTGAAGACGACATCATATCAAAGGTGGATATTTACTTTTTAATAATTAATCCTATTGTAAACAATGAAATCAAGTGGCACAGCCTGATCCTATTTAATTAGATATTTTAAGAATTATGTTACATTATGAAAGTAAACATTACTTATGTTTGAAAGTAAAGTTGCAAATGGCATTTTAAGTAGACTTTAAACCATTTTTATTACACCTTTAACAGACCAAACAGGCCCCAGCACTCCAGCCTCAGTATGCTTCAAAGAACCTTCAAAGTTCTTTCAAAGTCTTGTTTTTAGCTTTATAAGACGACATCTGTCTTTAAGTTGTTACATTTATTGTATGCAGTATAAAAAAAGAACACAAAAGTGTTTTAGATGGACAAAAAGTTAACTTACATGAGTATGAGTAGGCCTACTGTGAAGATAACACGTTTCAAGGTCAGTGGTCTAGTTGTATAATAATGTGGGGAACACTGCCACCTGTCTATATGCATGGGAAAACAGGATTAATTTATCAGTTACATGAAAAGAACTCAACGGGCTAATAATTAAAACCAAATCATAGTTTATGTTGTTTGTTACAGCTAAAGAGAAATTTAGATTTTTTTTTTTTAATCATAAAACGCTATACTGAATTGAAATGATCTAAGTCTAACATAATGTTCCATAACGAGGCAAATGTTAGGTTAAGTCGGCCTCTGCTGGTAAAGCCTGAAATTACTGACGTTTAATAGATTTAAATAATGGATGTTGCTTGCATGTATAAACTGTAAATAAATAAATAAACAATTAAATAATATGCTATAGTTACTATATTTGTGTTGTGTTTTGATTAAACAAAACAATATATATAAGGGACATTTTACTGGGCTATCAAAATGTGTGGGAATTTTTATTTAATTATTTATTTATTCATATTTACATATTTACAGATGCCACATGTAACGTTTTCTTATGATAATTATTCAATGTTCTTCAACTTGATAATTATAAACTCAATAAACCCACAACACAGTAAATGAAAAGCTCATGCAAAAAAAAATTTAAAAATTTAAAAATTTAATAAAATTTAAATGCCATCTCAAATGTTCTCCTATGTAAAACCAAATGAGTTAGGGTAACAAACCATTTGAGGAAATCCATTGCAACAAACCATTTAAGTTCAAAAACTTTGAGTACTATGAACTTAATCTATTTGAGTAAACGAAGTAATTTGAGCACAGTATAAATGAAGAGAACTCAAACCAACTGTGTACTGTAAAACCCATAAGACAACTCAAACTGTTTGAGGAAACCTATTGCAACAGATCATTTGAGTAAAAAAAAAAACTAATCTATTTGAGTACTATGACCTTACTCCATCTGAGTTATTTAATTAACTCATTATATTCAACACTGAGTTTAAAACTCTTTTCAACTGACTAGAATTAACTGTCAGTACATTCTGAGTTAACACTCATTTCATTTGATAACGTTGACTGTTGGGTTTTACAGTATAGATTAAGCATTCTTCTCACCTTCCATGTTTATGTTCAGCTACACATTTAGGAAATAAGCAAGGAAAGTGGCTGCTCTCTCTAAGGGCCTCCAAATAAATAAGTATAAATTACACCTATAAATTAAATATGACATCATTTTCAATCATATTTTGTATGATGGGGATCTAAAACAAGTTTACTTTTTATTACTTCTGCACAAATGTGCCCCCACCCTCAATCATGAAGCAATCCAGCAGTCAAATTAGGTAAAGAATTTGTTTAAAACGTAATTAAAAAATGTTAAATATTTAATTAACATTAAATCCTTTGATCATATATCCAAAAATATATAATTTTGTTCAAATTCCTTTTTCTTTGTCAAACTAATAATAAAACCTACTTTTAAAAAAATTACTAGCTTTCTATTATATTATTTTCATATTATTCAACCTCCTTTCAGGTGTCAAAATCACTGTTTCACCTTGTCGAGTTTTAAACTTCAACAATGAAAGTAACAATTTAAAATATTATTTATCTGGTAACTATTAATGTATTCTAATGAAACACTAGTGAAATAGGTTAAATATTTTATAGTTATTAATGTGAGATTATTATCAATATTAATATTTATGCAAAATATAGCTGTCGCACAGTATCAGTGTCATTTCCACCACAACACTGAAATGTCGCTTTAAAAAGTTTGTGTGAAAGATTATTTTGGTGGTTTCTATGAAAATGAATGGTGACGTCTGAGCACATGTTCAAGATGGAGGAAATTTAAATTATCATCAACAACACACAAAGAAAAATCAAGATAAATATTGCTTGATAAGGAAATATATTTATTCTGCGTCTTTTCCAAACATGCTGTACCTTCAAAGGTTTTTAAAAAACAAACAATTAAGGTAAATAAGAGTATTTTGGAAACATGAAATGCTAGTATCAATTAAAAGCTAATCAGTGAAGCAATCTTTATTTTTTTCACAATAAACTGTAGAAATGTCATTCCCACCCCTGTCGTTTCCACCACACTGTCCCTTGTGATGGAAATGACAGTATGTGGTGGAAATGACATTTACAGTTTCAAAACACAATTAATATAGATTGTGAAAGTACAGGGGTTGGACAATGACACTAAAACACTGGCCAATTTAGTGTTGGAGGTTCCACCTTTACTGTCTTTCCCACATCCGGGAGAGTTACAGTGTGGAGAAGCCCCAAAAAAAGCCTACCGTCCAGACGTTGATACCCAGAGTCAAACATGGGGAAATCAATGATGGTTTGGGCTGCAATATCATTCCCTAGACCCAATAATGGTGCTAGATGAATATGTAACCACTGGTTCAAACATTGCATCCTGAAGGTGGTGGCGTGTATCAGGATAATAATGCGCCAATACACACATCAAGACTGGTGACAGAGTGGTTTGATGAACATGAAAGTGAAGTTGAACATCTCCCATGGCCAACACAGTCACCTGACCCAAATATTATTGATCATTTTGGGGTATTTTGTGGAAATTTCAAGAAATGTATTCCTCCAGCAGCATTTCATAGAGACCTAAACACTATTCAGCAAGAAGAATGGCTCAAAATGTCTCTGGCCACTGTGCAGGATTTGTATCTGTCATTCCCGAGATGAACTGTTTATATATTATCCGCAAAAGGAGGTCTGACACCATACTAATGAATTATTCTTTCATTCAATTTCTTTTTAGCTTAGTCCCTTTATTCATCAGGGGTTGCTACAGGGGAATGATCCGACAAATTATACAGCTTATGTTTTACGCAGCGGATTCCATTCAAGCTGCAACCCATCACTAGGGAAACACCCATATACTCTCATTCACACACAAACACTAGGGCCAATTTAGTTCATCAATTCCCCTATAGCGCCTGTGTTTGGACTGTGGGGGAAACCGAAGCACCCAGAGGAAACCCACGCCAACACGGGGAGAACATGCAAACTCCAAACAGAGACACAAACTGACCCAGCAGAGGGTCGAACCAGCGGGCTTCTTGTTGTGAGCCAACAATGTTAACCAATGAATGAGCCACCGTGCTGCTTCATTAATTAACTATTGTGCTTTAAAACCAGGCCGTTCAGTTTTAATGTCCAACTCCTGTAGATGTGTACTTTTATTTTATATATTTATATATTGTAATAATAATAGGTTATTCACAGAATGTTCTGCTGCTGTTCATCTGTTAGACAAATCAGTTTTTTTAGATCAATCTCAGCCTTACACATGCAAAAACATGTGTGGTCATGCTTAGTCATTTTGTTGTATAATTGAGTTTAATAAGAGTGAGCTTAAGAGTTCAATAATTTTCTAATAAATATCCACTGTTTCTCTACATTAACATTGATTCATTGTCATTTCCACCACCACCCTGTAATTTCCATTACGACACACATTTAAAAATTTTTTTTTAATTAATTAAAAAGTTCTGATCACACATTAAAAGCATATTTACAATGTTTGAGTTCATGCTCTATTTAATATACAAATTCAGTTTATTTATTTTCTAAAAAAGCTCTTAACCAAATTAAAAATTTAGAGTGTGACAGGTGAACAATTCGGCATTTGGTCCTAACGGACTAATTTATTTCATTAACAAATTTAGAATTATTGTATACATTGTGGCAAGATTGGTTAAACTAGATTTTTTAAAAAAATGATCTTGGACAATGTTTGACTGCCATAATTTATTTCAATTTGAAATAAGCTGTATATTGAGATGTGGAGGAAATGACATATCTTCACAATGGGAAAAAAAAAAGTTAAATATGAACAATTTCTCTTCTTATAAGTTTGTCCTCTTACAGATCTTAAAACTAGACAAATTGTAAAAACTTATGAGGCTATGCTTTTTTTACTCAACTTCACAAGGTTAAAAGTGCCCATAGTTAAAGAATTGCCCAAAAATGTAATTAAACTATTAAAAAGTTATATATTATTTTAGTTGCAAATTCATTTTGAGAAACAAATAATGTAAAACGTTTTACAAGATGCTTTATATGTATTTTTTCTTGTTTTGCATCAAGAAAAAATATAGAAAAGGAGATTGAGTGATGTAAGAAAAAATACAGCAAAATAAATCAATTAATACTCAATTAAAGTACAAACTTTTGGGCCATGGCTAGAATTGCTTAGGGCCCCCAAATCACTAAATCTGCTCGTCAGTTATTTTATTTTAAAGGCAGTGATTGATAAGAACTTATAAATCACTAAACAGAAAAGTGATCAATAAGTGAGAAAAAAATGCAACTTTTAGAATAAAATATCAAACGGCATTTATAGATTTTTGCATCTAAACTTAATATGCTTATCTCCAAGTAATTGTTTGGTTATACCATTTTAGTATGTCTGCTATTCATTGTGTAATATTTTAATGCATGGCCTAGCTAGACTTCCGTACGCAAGAACAGTAGCCCAACGAAATGTCGTTTTCTATTTTCAAAACGCGCATCCGGCTTGCCGTATTTGTTCCGCTACACCGGGTCTAGCGGCACGTGTTGTGGAACAGCAAGCAAGAGAAGCGCGAACACGTTTATTGTAACTTTACACCCACAGTTCTTGTGTTGTGGACATCGGCGTATACCTGTCGCTTCAAGCCAGTCAAATATATTTCAGTAAACATCCAAAAACATATCTTCAAAGCGTAAGGTAAGTAGCTCGTTTCTTAGCGTTGTTGTTGAAATCGTGTTCGTAGCGCATACCTACAGAGACAACACAGCACTTGTATACAGACTGTGTAATTAAATGTAAAAAGAGTTGTAGCCCTTATAACTCTTAAATGTTTAACAAACTCCCGTTCTTTTGTTATCACATGGTACAAGTTCGATAGCATGAATTATAACGTTAACGTTATATGAACACATTACTCGTATATAGCCTAGCAGTGATGCATTTCAACTTTATTTACAATAGTATTTAGTTACTACCACATGTTTTAAGATGAATGAGTTTTTGTGTTAGATTGGTGTAAAAGCTGCCAATAAATAATAAAATAAATAATAAATCCATAACAAAAAAAAATGAAAGAAACAATTCAGCTTAAACAATTTAAACTTATCGACGTTAGATTTTGTCAGGGATCCACATTTTCTCATTGTCTACAACCTCATCAGTTGACTGTAAATGTGTTTTGCAATGTTCCATGCTAAGAAACTCTGTAAGATTTGTGTATCTGGAATGAACTATTCATCTCTGACTCTACGATGTTTGATGCTTAATAAAACCTAAAACGTAACTTAGTCTTGTCACTGTTATTGCTGAACAAAGAAGTCTAGTTGAATGATTTCTCAGATCTGCTTGTTTCTTCAGATATTGCTGTTTCATCAGTTACTTTAAAGTGTTTGCTTATTAGATGGAGTTTGGCCATGTACAATTGGACTTGGTTATAGATTTTAGTTAAAAGATTGTCAAAATTGCTTTTAAGAAGAAACCAAATAAATCAGTGCTACACCCTCCAAAGATTGAGGTTTTCTGTTAATTTAGGCAATCAACCCCAGTTGACTTTTTTATAAATCGTTAGAACAATAAGAAGGATTAAAAAAAATAGGTACCAATGTAATCAAGTAATACCTATGTCTCTTAGTTATGCTTTGTGGTCTTACACAAGAAACTGAACCAACCTTTACCAGTCGATGTTCATCTGTCTGTCTGTTTCTGTCTGTTTGCTGAAACCAATAGACCCTTTAGGTTTTCACATTTTTGAGTTTCTCAGCAGCAGAAGTCGTTATAGTTGGGTAAAACTTAGAGTGCAGTGAATTGAAAAGTACAACAAACATTTTTTTTACAATCCTATTTGCTAAAATAAAGGAAGAAAAGCTCATGATGGTGTTGTTATGCCTTTCAGAAAAGAGCAAAAAATGTGAGGTATTTATAATTTATAATAAAATATAATAAAAAAAAACATCAAATTTACTGTTCTGTTCATAGACGCTGCATTGGAAAACCCTCTCACAACAAGCATTAATTAGTTTTTTTGTAATTTAATGCAAAGATGATACAATACATACATAAATATAAGTTTTTTTTATTTTAAATCTTAATATTTAAAGCCTTCAAGTATACAACGTGCCTATGACCGTTAAACACATCATAACAGTCTTGTGAAAAGGGTCCATTGAAGCACAGTTACATACCACTTTGATGAACAATTACAATTCATCCACTCCCCACTGTCAACAAACAGCATGTTTGTACCCATGTTTGCATCATGCACCAATACGTATACATACATTCTTTGAATATGCTTAGGACCAGTTGATTCTTGTGAAGAAAAAAAATCATTTGACCATAGGATGGGTAAATTTGAGTTAATTATCACTTTCAATCACAAAGCTTCTGTCTTTTAAATTCTGTCATGCAAACATATTCTGCCTTTTCTCTTTTTCAGCATATGATCAGCAAAATGAAGTATATTCTGGTGACAGGTGGTGTGATCTCAGGTATTGGGAAAGGTATTATAGCCAGCAGCGTGGGCACGATTCTCAAATCCTGCGGCCTTCATGTCACAGCCATCAAGATTGACCCATATATCAACATAGACGCAGGCACCTTCTCGCCGTATGAGCATGGTAATCTCACATAACTCCCATCACCTATCACTTCTTCCGCCTCCAGAATATTTATTACAATAAAACGTTACATGCAAATTAGATTAGGTGAGGACCAATATTGCTGTGACTGTAACTTGCTATGAAATAGCAAGTCGTGATATTTGTTGACAAATGGATAAAATGTAGTAGTTTAAAGTGCTGAACTACAAAGATTTGACATTGCTGTTAGTATTTTGGGGCTGAATTGTGATACTGAATAACTATGCTTTAATATGTAGTTAATGATTCTTGTTCTAAAAGTAGCTGAAAAGTTCATAAACCATTGTTAAACTGAAGGGAAGTTTTAGTAGAGGTCTTCTGTAATTCCTGGTCGGCAGCATAGCAACATTAAAAATGCCATTTTAATGTTAGCAGCAACTTAGCATTTGCCTATTTCACAATCATAGCGTAGCATCATGCTAAAAAAGTAAAAATCAAAAAAGCAACCACTTTTTCAGAAAATGTTTAAATATTTATAACTAATGGGTTAGCTATTATAAAGTAGTTTTCTTACTTGTTTGGTAGGACTTACGAGCTCGGTGGTGTGTTTGTAAAATAGATGTGTTTTGCTTTTTGTCCAGGTGAGGTGTTTGTTTTGGATGATGGGGGTGAAGTTGATTTGGATCTGGGAAACTATGAACGTTTTCTGGACATCAGGCTCACCAAAGACAATAACCTGACCACAGGAAAGATCTACCAGTCTGTCATTAACAAAGAGCGCAGGGGAGATTATTTGGGCAAAACCGTGCAGGGTAAGTAGATTGTCTTATGTTAATACTTTTAAAGGCTAAGTCCTTTTAAAACGATAACTTTAGTCCAAATTCATATCTTGTCCAATAGACTTAGACAAAATCTCTTGATGCAAGTAAGTTGGAAGAACTTGTTTATTCATTTGTTCCAGTGGTGCCACACATAACTGATGCTATCCAGGAGTGGGTGATGCGTCAAGCCAAAATTCCTGTAGATGATGATGATGTTGAGCCTCAGGTTTGCGTCATTGAGGTAGGAAAAGTGTGATGAAGTAAATAATTTACTTTTAACGGGCTTATGTCTGAATTTTATATATGCCTTTTTGCAGTTGGGTGGGACAGTTGGAGACATAGAGAGCATGCCTTTTGTTGAGGCCTTCAGACAGTTTCAATTTAAAGTCAAGAGAGAGAACTTTTGCAATATTCACGTCAGTCTAGTGCCACAGGTGAGTTCTGTTTATTCAAATTTTCTCACACAGAACATTGCATTATACATGTATGTATGTATGTATGTATGTATGTATGTATGTGTGTGTGTGTGTGTGTGTGTGTGTGTATATATATATCTCATCATATTACATGTGCACATTCTGTGTCATTGTTGATGTCCAGCCAAGTGCCACTGGAGAACAGAAGACCAAACCCACCCAGAACAGCGTAAGAGAGCTCAGAGGACTGGGATTGTCACCTGACCTGGTGAGTCAAGTTTTATAGGACATTTCTGTTTGTGGTATGTACAAAATTGTCAATGCAGCTACGCTTTGAGTTAATCTCACAGATGTAGCTTAGATTTGTTCATGGTGACCTGATTTTGATTCCAGCCTTGCAGTCCTTTGCCAATTACTCTCTCTTCTCTCTGCATCAGTTTTTAAATCATATCTCTGCTGTCCTATCTGAGACAAGAAAAGGTCCCATAAAAAGCTTCTGTGAGAGAGATTTGGTCTATTGTAATAGCAAAATTTTTCAGGCCCTGCTTCTACCAGTCATATAATTTTATTAATGTGTCTGGGGCCTCTACTTATGTGACAGCTTTTCATATCTTGCTGAGACCCTGTTCTCTTATTTTATCACACTCTGCATCACTTTTTTGGTAGCGCACCTAAGTATTATTGGCTAAATGAACTGCAAATAAATGAAAATGATGTGCATGGCAGTTATAGGGATATTCCACCCAAAAGTGATCATTTACTTAGTTTATTCTCCCTTATGTGGTCTCAAACCCTTTTTGAAATACTTTGTTCTGTTGAACAATAAGATAACCTGTAACCTTGTGTTCAACACAAAGAAGAAACTTAAAAAGGTTTCAAAAATAAATGTTGACAGAATTTTCCTTTTTTGTCCACTTATCTCTTCATGATTTTGTTCTTTTTTTGGGGACATCACAGTGAAAATGAATGCTTTGTTTTGGTGCGTTGTCTGATAACATGTCCCATAAAGATAACATGCTATGTCAGAATGTTGCTTGACCACATTCAAATCACTTTAGTCTGATCAAATGGGTTTTCTACCGGCCCTGAAAGTGGTTGACAGCTGACTACTCTAAGAATTTTAGATTTCATTTATAGCTGTTTTTAGTGTCCTTCATGAGTAGTGTGTTTGTTCAGATTGACAAATACAGTTGTAATAACAGGTGTAAACAGATCTTGAAACAAAATGTAAGTATGGAAACCAAACCTATTTGATGTTATGAATTCACGACATATTTAAAATGTATTTTTAAATGATTGTGTAGAGTAAACTAGGTTTATGCAATTTTTAAAAATTATTTTTACAGATATTGAGCCTATTAAATATCTGTCAGTTCCTTGTCAAATAGTTTAGCCCAGTCACTCAGAATTTTTAATGTTCATTTATTCTTATTATTTCAGATAATGTGCCGATGCTCTACTCCACTTGATAATTCAGTTAAAGAGAAGATATCCATGTTCTGTCATGTGGAACCTGAACAGGTAAGTCTGGGTAGGCTTGAATGCCACCAGCATAACTGTAATGTAAGTTACCCACATAAGTTGGAAATTAAGTGTAAGAATTTTCAAAAAGAAAAATATGTAAAGCCTGCCTCCTGCTCAAATTGATTTAGGATACTGTTTTTTTCCCTTTTTACTTTTAACAACTGCATGTATTTACATTTATATGGTCAGGAAAACTCCTCATGAAAATTACACAATGTTCATAGTTTATCCAGAAGTTTAAGTTCTTTCTTATTACATTAGTTGAATTATGGGACTTGATAGTTATTAATTGTTGTAATAATAATTTTCTTATGCTAGTCATGTATTCATAGTTTGTTTCCGAATCTCAGTGATGTGATTTGGTATTCTCTACAGGTGATCTGCGTCCATGATGTGTCCTCTATCTACAGAGTGCCACTGCTCTTGGAAGACCAGGGTGTTGTGGGATATTTCTGTCGCAGACTGAACCTGCCTATTGAAAACAGACCCAGAAAGATGCTCGCAAAGTGGAAAGAGATGTCAGACAGGTAAAAATATGCATTTAAAATATGGAAACTCAGGATCAGTTCATACATCAATATTAAAAAGATATGCATCATCAAAAAAAACTTTTATCTCATAATACACATGTATTTTTACATGATTTGTTTAGTAATTTGATTTTCCAAACCCCTCCTTTTTGTGACATTAATCTACAGTGATTGGTCTGATGACCCAGTCTTTTGTGATAGGTCTACTTTGTTCTTTGCAATGCCCATAACAGCTAATTTGTATTGAAACAAGCAGGCAACCATGGTTCATTATATGTGTGAGCCCAATGTAGGAGTGAGTTGATAAATCACTACAGTTTATACACCAGCATATTGCTTTATTCTACATTATAACTCCAAGTAATAACAGCATTTAGTATTAATCAACATAGATGCAGAAGTTGGTCTGGTGTGAACTTTGACCACTGTGCTTAACTCTGGTGTGTTAACCATAGCCCTACTAACTGCTTGGATCATTTTGCATGCCACAGAACAAGAGGGCAGCCATTTTAATCACACTTACAGATTGTGATTTAAAGGAAGAAGAAGCTGGTCCAAATAATTTGTGTACTGGCATAGTCACCTTCAAGGTGTGACAATGTTCCATGTGCATCTATAGCAGGGGTGTCAAACTAAATTCCTGGAGGGCCGAAGCCCTGGACAGTTTAGTTCCAACCCTGCTTCAACACACTTACCTGTAGGTTTCAAACAAGCCTGAAGGACTCAATTAGTTTGATCAGGTGTGTTTAATTAGGGTTGGAACTAAACTGTGCAGAGCTGCTGCCCTTTTGGAACTGAGTTTGAAACCTGTGATCTATAGTCTATGATAGGGGTGTCAAACTCAGTTCTCAGACATCCATAGCCCTGTAGAGCTTATTTCCAACTCTGCTTTAACACACTTACCTGCAGCTTTCAAACAACTTTAACCATTGATTCAACAGACTCGTCTTCAGAATTTAAAGAAAAAACACAGTGCAGAAGCATAGCACCTTTGTGTCGTAATGCATTTTGATCCCCACAGTTTGCTACAGTGATTGAGGGAGAGGGATTTAAGTGTGAACCTAGAGCTGTTTTTGAATTTTCTAAATTTCATAATAGGGCACTTTAAACATGGTATGTGTTACAAAAATGCTTCCTAGTTCCACCAAAAGTATATACATATTTTTTATATTGTTTGTATGGTAGATCAGACAGGCTGTTGGAGCAATGCTCCATTGCATTGGTGGGGAAGTACACCAAGTTCTCGGACTCGTACGCCTCAGTGATCAAAGCCCTGGAGCACTCTGCTCTCGCCATCAGCCACAAACTAGAGGTTAAGGTGGGTGAAACAGATGGCTCACTGCCTACATAAATTTAAGAAAATATCTCACTAAACACGCATCAATAAAAGTTAACCCATTCTACTTTTTTTCCCCAGTATGTTGACTCTGCAGATTTGGAGCCCAGCATGTTACAGGAAGAGCCAGTGAAGTACCATGAGGCATGGCAGAAGCTCTGCAGTTCAGAGTGAGTAATGCAGTAAAATGAGTCAAGCTCTTTTCAGTTAGGCCTACAATGGTTACATTTACATCCATGATTTTACGAATGTGAAATCTACCCTGCTTTTACAAGGTTATGTAAATACCATAATGGTGCTTTCGAATTCAGAAGGCCTAAATGTGCTTATTTATAATGATATGGATTTGGACACAATGAATAATATATGATTTGTGATTGTAGCTGCACAGCATATTGGCAAATTCTCATTACATAACAATAGTAGTATATGCAATATTCATATGGCAGAGGTACACTAAATTGCATTTGTGTGTTGAATAAATAAACCATTAATCTATATTTTACAAATCAGTTTAGGCCTTACAATGTTTATACTTGCCACTTCGTTTGGTACTATTATGCTATTTAATACACTACAAAATACTAAAGGGGTTGAGACAAAGTGTGTTGTTTGTTTTTTTTTTATGTCTTCAGTGGTATTTTAGTACCTGGAGGTTTTGGAGTACGAGGGACAGAGGGCAAGATTCAGGCCATCAACTGGGCCAGGAAACAGAAAAAGCCATTCCTAGGTAGGAAACGATTCAAAATTAAATTTATCCAAAATGTTATGCAGCGGCTGAAATTGTAACGCATCTAAACTATTTGTGTTTCAGGCGTGTGTTTGGGGATGCAGTTAGCCGTGTGTGAATTTGCTAGGAACATGTTAGATTGGACAGGTACTTCACAAACAGAAAAACTAGAAGTTGTAAGGATTGTTTTTACCAAGCAGATTTGAACTGTTTTTTTTTCTCTTTTACCCAGATGCTAACTCTACAGAATTTGACCCAGAAACAAAACATCCTGTGGTGAGTATTGGATTTAGTTTCAATTTGAGTTTTTTGTCCAGTTTAGGTCAGAAAATAATAGAGCTGATGTTTAATTGTTCATCCCTCAGGTGATTGACATGCCAGAGCACAATCCAGGGCAGATGGGAGGAACGATGCGGCTGGGAAAAAGGCGAACTATTTTCAAAAATAAAAGCAGCATACTTAGTAAGTGCAGTTCACCAACCGTAACATCATGTATGCAATGAGTTCTTCAACGATTGTTTTATCTTTCACAGGAAAACTTTACGGAGATGTAGATTATGTTGAGGAAAGACACAGGCATCGTTTTGAGGTATGTTATTTATTTATAACATGTATGTAATGACAAACTATAACAGTAAAGTTAGGACTAGGGATAATATACGCAAAAACATTTTTGATCATTTGAAAGAAAGTGTACATTTTGTCTTAATTTAGTCAACCTCAAGCTGTTTATAATTTATGGGCGGTAGTCTTGCAAACAAGCAATAACCCGTATTTTATCTAGGAATGCACCATATATCAGCAGCCATATCATCATCGGCTGATTAAATGCTATTTTTTATGTTATCGTTATCAACCTGATATCAAAATTAGGCCGAAAAAGCCTTTATAGCAGCAGGGGAGAGGTCCGCTAGTGACTGAATCGAGCATAGGGGTTCTCAACTCTCTGCCACATTCTGTCTTTATATAATGCACTGTGTTTGTCATAAAGTTATCTGTGTTCAATGCTTGGGTGTTGTATAAAAATCTGATTTTCGAGGTCAAATCTGACACAGCGCCTGCCGTTACTTTCAAACTCACAGCAGTTTATCATAAACCTCTCATCGCATTTGACAGCAAGAATGACCAAAGAAGCTTTTTCTGATTGACAAGCTGCACCTACATGTTCAAAAGAATCTAAAATGCCAAATAGGATGAATTTATGCTGCATTTTCTGAAATAGATCATCCAACCTGTATTTAGCTTTTCGCTTGTACGGTGACTCTGAACTGTCAAAACGGCTCTCAAAACGCCTTTTCGGACATTATGTATTTTTACTCGTGTACATTACTGTAACTCCTTTTATTCAGAAACATTTGAGCTGGTTTCAGTTCTTAGTTCATTTTCATTTTAATTCAAATATATTTATTTGAACTTGTTTGTTAATTAAGTCCAATTTTGTTTTGTAACCTATTATCTTTATGCAACAGTCAAGTTGCTTGTTAATTTGCTATGCGAAAAAAAGGTAATAAATGATTTTTGGCATGTGGATTTATGTGAAATCATGAATCTGGGTCTATATAATTACCCTGCAATTTTGAAATAATTGCTTTTTCTACTGAGTAGGCTATTCAGTTCATAAGATCAGTTCAAACTTTTATTAAGTTTTAAAAAGAAAATCAATTGACTGTATAAAAATATAACATTTTGAAATACTTATATTTGTCGGGTATAGTATATCGGCCTCCAAATCCTAAGAGTGATCTCTTATCGATATTGGCCATAAAATCCTTATTGGTGCATTCCTAATTTTGTCAGAATCATTTTTTTTTTTTTTATCCAAATCATAACATCTACCAGGCAGGGCCTGTGACGCATCTGTTAACATAGACATACAAGAACAAGATTTGCCAAATATATGCTTAAAACATTAAAAGAAAAAAAAAAACATTATTTTTGAAAATGTTGTGAGGACAAAAAGTTATTCTACTGGTAGCTATGGTTAGATTTCAAAGTGGCTTGTCGCTGATACTGAACATGCAGACAAAGCATATGCTCTGAATGTTTGTTTAAACAAATGGCACGTTAACAGTTGTCATTTTATTGCAGTTTTAAGGGTTTTTATGAACATATGTTTTTAAATTTGTGTAGCAGTATACATAAAACCAAAACCCTTCTTTCTGTTCAGGTGAACCCAGAACTGAAGCATCATTTTGAGGAGAAAGGCTTCCGATTTGTGGGTCAAGATGTGGAGGGTGAGAGAATGGAGGTCATAGAGATGGACGGTAAGTGAGAGGAAATCAGGTTAAATTAAAACTGTAAATAATTACCATATTTTCACGTCAACACCAATGTTTATCATAAACAGTCATTTTGGGTGTAGGGATCATGTTTTGTTATTAAATACACTATGTAAAACGTCATTAATATTATTATTTTCACACTCTTCAAGCATTTAAGTCAAGTGCATTCTCAAGAGTGTACTTTTTAACAATCCATCATGCTATAATAAAATAAATCAAAAGCTTTGACTTTAAAATGACTGCATCTTAAAATTATGATAGAGCTATCAAATATAAAAGTGGGAGCACTTTGCAGCCATGCAAACAGTTAAGTACCTCAGATTTATTTAAATATCAGAGGTAAACAATCTACTGTTCTCATAGTAGCCATTGAAGTCATGCAAAATGAGTCAAACTCAGACCTTTACTATTGCTCTAATTTTAACTTTTTAATGTTATATATAAATATCAGCCTTTTTCCTTTCATTAAATGTTATGAAAATTTAGCTATTTAGTCAGAAAAATTGATAATTGGCAACCTTGGTTGTATATTTTGTTGACTTGTGTACTTTTCAGGTTTAAGGATTGTCATAGTAATATATTACATGTACAATAAATAGCATGATTTTTTGTTGTTTTTGCAGATCACCCTTATTTCGTTGGTGTTCAGTATCACCCAGAATTCACATCAAGACCAATAAAGCCATCGCCACCATACTTGGGCCTGCTTTTGGCTGCTGCAGGGAGGCTTCAAAGTTACCTGCAGAAAGGGTGTCGATTGTCACCACGGTATGGACCCATGTTCCATAAGCAGTCAAAATTCTCTTACCCAATCTCATCTTCAAAAGATGGTTCATAATAAAAAAGGGGAAATTAAGATCTCAGTTAATGTTTTGATTCATTGCAGTGCCATTAGTTGTGATAAGCTTTTTATGTAGAATTAAATTAAAGCTGTTTTGTGTTCACAGAGATGCATACAGTGACCGAAGTGGCAGTAGTTCTCCTGATTTGGAGATTGCAGACCTGAAACTACGTTCAATTGCTCAGGAATAAAAGCAGTAAATGGTAAGGCAACACTTGTGTGGCAGTGTTAAATGTTATTATATCTACAGCAAGAACATTTTTCTTTTCTCCTGTTTTCAGGGCCTGCTGTCTGAAGAGGATGTTGTTTTAAAAGTGGTCGCGTCAATGGTCATCAGAAGATTAGTAGCTTTATTTTATGAAATTTATCGTTTTTGTATGCAATGACAATAAGGTTTGACATCCCATTGGGGGAAAGTTAATAGATTTTCTTCATTGTGATGGAGTTTGTCAAGTACCAGCTGGTTTGTTGTACACCTGTCTCCAGTAATAAAATGGTATGGAGTTACACTAAAGTTGTCATGTATCTTTGTTATTTTACAGCATAAAGTCAAACTTATTTAACATGAAATACATATTGGTGGAAAATAATTGATTGTTTTAAATTTATGGTCCAATATTACTTTAGTATCATTTGCAAACAAAACAGCAGTCTAGAATAGTTTTAAAATACTTTTATTTAAAAGGGTTTATTGGGGGGGGAAAAAAAAAAAAAGTTGCACATGTAAACCAGTTAAAGTTGAGACAACCGCACCAGTCAAGTTCCTGTAGGAAGAAAAATAAACAGAACTTTGTTAGTCAAAACAAACAAAGCACGTTTAAAATGTTTAACAAAAACTGATCTCAGTCCCATATCCGCAAGTTTCATCCAGCAGTCACCATCAATATACTATCATCCTTGATCAGTCAAAAATAAAAATAAAAATTAAGCTTACAGAATCATACCTACTTAAGCAGACTGTACCACCATTCCTACAGTTAACCAGCACCTAAGCACAAAAATATATTCAATTTATACATTTGTAACATCATCGTGTTCCAGTCACAAAATTCAAAACAAGCTCACCCTCCACATGTCTGATAAAATAAAAATGGCAGAAAGTATTTTAACGGTTAAGTTATTCTAAAAAAAAAATAATAATAATAAAAGCTTAAGTGAATTTTACAAGTTTAAGTAATGGGAGTGTAAATAACCTTAAAATGAGCTAAAGCTTCAATCTTAGGTACAAATTTAAACTATAGGGGTTAATCTTGGACCCAGATGGGGAGTCATCATGCGCAACCAGTTGGTTTATGTTGGACAGTAGAGTGACCGACACAGACACCAGCAGACAGGCGGTCAAAGGCTCCCCATTAATTTAGCACGTAGTTAGAGAATGAAGCGCAAATTAGGAGCACTGATTCTCGCATACGTGCAACACTAAAATTAATGTTGAACTTACCAGAACAATGGCTTACTGTGGCCACTTGAAAAGCACTGCACTGACTGCATCTGGCTAAATAGAAAATGAATTTTTTTTTTTTTTAGTCAAGTACTAAGTACAATTAAAAAAAATAAAAACATAAAACCTTAGAGTTACAGTTGGCTCAGCAAAGTTTTTGATTGTCATAATAGAGCTGCTCTCTCAGAGAGGGCAAGTTTGTCATCACAGCCAACAAACACAAAAACCAATAGCAAACAAACCTTTCATGTTTGTTCATTTAGCTCATCCAGAAGCATCGTGACAGGAGGTCTCCATGTCGAAACATTCAGCTTGTTCTGCACAATTTAACCTGCATAAAAAAGTAACAGTTAGCCAGAGCTACATACAAGTGATATTTAACACACAAAAAATAAAAAAAAATAAAAAATAAACTAATGGGGAAGCATTCAATTGTCCTTTTCCTAAATGTTGCTGAAACAGCTACAGGTAACTGCACAGCGACCGTCAGTAAAAGTGTTGCTATCGGCTCCTGTTTGATCTGCACCAGTTACAGACAAACTGGACAGCTTCAATCAGGGCCATGAAAAGCCAATTAAGCTTTAATATACCTTATGGTTCAATTAGAGGTGTAACGATAGACCAATGTCACTGTTGGTTGTCAATTCTGTATCCTTAAGTCGAACTCATCTGGCCATTACACATTTGTTTTATGTGTACACATTATTGTATGTGTAATTGTTTTATGTGTAATATTAGTTTTGGTTAATATTATTTTCATTACTTGATATATGACTTATTAGTATTAGTTACCACTGATTCTTTTAAGTGTAATATCTTATATAATAGTTTGTATACTTATGTATTGTGGCTGTTTCCTTTTATAGATTGGTTGGATTTATGTGACTTATTTCACTTAATTTATTTATTTTGTCTTGTGGTTTTGTGTTTCTGTGTTCTGTGTGTTATGGCAGTCATTACATAAGCAATTTCCTGCGGGATAAATAAAGTTTTCTAAGTATAAAACACTCTGAAGGATGCACCCCAGTATCCTTCTATGAATGTAGTTTTACTGTGAGGGCCCATATTACCCCCCCCCCCCTCTTTGGTTTAATCAAAGAAAAAAAACATTAACAAACAAACCTTCAAGGTTGGTCATTCAGCCCCCATCAAGGAAGATCATAATGGGGTTTCTTTCAGGTGCACACATTCAGCTTGCTCTGCATCATCCAACCTGCATGAGAAAAAAAAAAAGTTAGAAAGAGGCTACACGCAGTAGAACGTTTACCAAAAAAAATTAGTCAGTTGTCCTTTTCCTTAATGTTGCTGGGACAGCTACAAGCAAACTGTACAGCGACCGTCGGTAAAAGTGTTGCTATTGGCTCCTGTTTGACCAGTACCTGCTATAGATGAACAGGACAGCTTCGATCAGGGCCTTGAAAAATGACTTCAGTCTTACTAAGAGGGACAGTTTACCCATGAACAATTAACTCAACCTTCAAGTCAAGCAGGTCTCTTCTGTTAAGAGGACTTTAAAATTGGAGGCCTGTAACTGATTTACTTTCAAGCGAAAATCAATTGTCAGTTTCAGCTTTCTTCAAAATACTTTATTAAATAAACCTAAAAAAAGTTTTGGAACTACTATAGTAAATATCTTTAGGTGAGCTCGACACTGGGCGTATACTATACTCTTTAAAGGGTATAGCAAAAGAGTTTTCATTCAGCAAGACACACTTGCAAAACCCACTTAAATCTTCAACAACTTGAATTGCCAAACAGGAGTTTCACATTGTAATTAACATTTAAGTATCATGACTAGGCCTGCACGCAATCTTTTCAGATTTTTATCCCATCATTGATTCTGTTTATTTACTTGTGTGTAATTATTCAGATTTATTACAGTAATACAATTGATAAATATGAAAATATTCATGATTTATTTACAATACAGTTTGTTAGATAAGGCTTACCGTTTACCAAAGTGGATCTAATTGAATTTGCATTAAAACATGAAGTAAAAAGGTATTACTTTTGATTGCATATATTAAGATTTAAAGTTATTATACTACCAAAATAATTTCTCAAATCCGAAGATTAACACAATTGTACGCATATGGCAAAAACAATGCCATAGTCATGACCGAACGTAATATTACGATTTGGCCTAAATGACTTCAATATGCTATACAGTTTAAAACGTTAAGCATCAATACAGTGTAAAGATCTTTTTTTACCTCTGGACAGAAAGTTGTGATTAGCGGTGGAACAACGTGGTTAAACTGAACTCCCATTTCAGGGAACGTTAACATCTGAAAGATACAAAAAAAAAAAAAAAAAAAAAAAGAAAAAAAGTTAGCTTAAAAACGCACAAAAGTTAGCAGCAAGTATTTAGGGCTAATCATGTGTGTAGAGTGTAATGGCGCCTCATCCAAAGTTACTTAGTTGAAACGACAAAAACACGGAATTTTTACTATCTGCAGTTCTTTTACAGTTATAAACGGTAGCTTTTATCATAAAAATAGAATGCGTTTTGTTGAGAGTTCGCCTCCACCCAACACAATACATCTCAAAGACACAAAGAATTAAAACATCCTGCGACTCAAGCCAACAATTCTCAAACTAAATATTGGAGAAACAATCAAACTGACAAAATCGACGACTTAAAAACTTCAAACTCATAAACAGCATTCGATGTTTAAAGATTGACTCGTACCCACCTTCACCCATTTAGAAAGCAGTTGAAAAGGAGGAAGCTGAGACTGTGACGTTATGTTTTATACGGCGGTAACTAACGCTGATTGGTGAACTGGCTCATCGCTGATTGGCTGAATGACATTGTTCAGTCACACAGCTCGATGGGATATGTAGTTTTGCGACTAAATGACGACTGGGATTTCTAATATAGTAATAAGATTATTATTTTTTTTATAATGATCGGAATTTTTTATACATAAGAAATGCGTGGCTTCACTCCCTACTTTTCAACATTTTCTGCTGCTTCTGCTGAAATCTTTCCGTATGTGTAATAATAACAAATTATGTGTCCGATTGGTACTATAAAGAACGGTTGTCAATTGACTCTGATTTCAGTTAGATAGGTTTCCTTTAATTATCTTAATTTATTTATTTTCATACGCTTTTATAAAATCGTAATTAACTTAACCCTTTCTTTGTTTTGTTAGTCTTTTTTTCCCTGCAGCTAATGTAGCTTGTATGTTTCCTCATTCGTATCTCTCTTATATTGATCTCCTGATTGTGGTTGTATATTTTTGTTCTTGAATAAAAAAAATTAAGAAAAAAAATGAAAGAAAAAAAGATGTTGTTTGAATCTCGCAACACTGTTTTATTTAGGCAACTTAAATAATTATTTTAAAATAAAATAGTAATACTCATATGCACAAAATAAACAAATAAACTATGTTTAAAAAATGAGACAACCGTGCTCAGCTGAAAATGGCCTTGCTCAAACAAATGAATAAATTAACAAACAAAGAAATGAACAAGATTATGGCAATCTATACAATTATGACATTTGGATTAGTAACATCTGGTTGGTTAGATAACAAGCGAATTAACGACTACTACTAATACTATTATTATTATTATTATTATTATTATTATTATTATATTATTATTATCATTAAAGTCTATCGGATTTTTCTGGACAGTACTTGTTTTGACCACACGCCCCCCAGCCGCACATTTATCATTCAGCACCATGGACAGAGTAAGCAGACTCCACTAGGATAGATCCAGGAGCACAGGCCTTCAGTAACCACAAATACATAAATACAGAGGATAAATACAGATATTATCATGCCATACGATGCGGATTTACATTTGGGTTAAGAAATCATGCTCCGGGTGCAGAGTTATAGCCGCTTTTTTGATTCCAAACGCGAGGAGAAACGACTAACGTTAGATTATTTGCTGCTGTCACTTACTGTAAGAAAAAAACAAAAAAAAGAAAAAGATAGTAAGTGAGAATATATTATCATTGTTAAATAGCCTAGGCCTACATTTTTTACATTTATTACATTTTATTGTACACTAAGGCTGTTAGAGTTTTCTTTTATCACTGATGTTGTAACAGCAATAAACATCGAGGGGCCCTTACACGAACTTTACCCCTGTTTTTATAGGTTAAAATAATCTCAATCCATCTTTGCTCATCGCATTTTAGTGAATCAAACACTACATATGCTAAACAGATCATAATAATATAGCCTATGAAAATCTTATTTCGCAATACATGTATCGCTTCATCATATGCTTAAATGAAAGTAATTCGGTTACACATTAGTTAAGAAATGAGATGTGAACATTAGCGCATCACATGACTGCAGCACATTCACCTCTCCTCTCGCCCGCCCCCACCTCTTCTCTCCTCTCCGCTCCATACTGCCCAATGTAAACACCGTTAGCGCTCCTGCTTTGTCTTTGAGTCTGTGGCTGGAGCTTTTGACTCGCCATGCCATGGATACTTTATGGCAGTACCAGTTCAGGATAATTTTACTCGGGGACTCGACGGTGGGCAAATCATCTTTGCTCAAGAGGTTCACGGATGGCATATACAGCGATGTAGCGGATCCGACGGTCGGTGTGGATTTCTACGCCCGTTCAATAGACATCGAACCTGGGGTTAAAATCAAACTACAGTTATGGGATACAGCCGGACAGGAGAGATTCAGGTTAGTGGCCATAAAGTGCTCTGCCATCATCATTAGTAGTAGTGGTATTAGTATTATTATCATTATGCACTGACCATCTGCTGGCTATGTCTTCATGCACTGCATGGACTGAATGTGTGTGTGCATGACTTGGCTGTACGGTTTGTAAAATAGAATGACAGCAAGTATGCATGCATTTTGTGGTGTCATTGGTTGTGTAATATTGTGTGCAGAATTGTGTTTCTAGGTTAACCATTTACTGCAATGCTATATTCTAGAATTCTCTTCCTTTATGTCTGTATTATATCTTCTGGGCAGGGTGTAATAAGGATCAGGCCTAGCAGGCTGTTTATGAATGAATAAAAATGTCTCTTATCTCATTGTTTGTTCCAGTGTCATATGCCTCACCTGTTTAGATTCTGCAATGAGCATGTGTTTGGTTAAGTCCTGTCACTGGGCTTAGATCATGATGTCTCTGATCTGTTTGTCCTATATTTTAAAGCACCACTTGCCTTTAGGGAAGCACAAACATCAGCCTCAGAGCTTTAAAGAACCATTCATCAAAACAAAATCAACCGCCTCAAACATTTTTCTTGTTTATATTGTATTCTGAACAATCAGGTATAAAAAAATTGTATAGACTACTGTATGCATGCGTAAAATAGGCAAATCCTTTTAGTTATATGATTTAGTAGGATTAAATGTGTAATTACAGTTAATTTCAGTAAGGGCAGATAATGCCCCAGTTTATTGCCACCAGAGGTCAAGAGTCCCTGTGTGTTTATTTAAAATAATATTTTGAAAGAAAAAAAGCTATTACATATAAAAATATATATAATAATAAATTAAAAGCTTAGTTTGCTCATTTCTGCTTTTAAAGACTTTTACTTAAACTTATATATACAGTGCATACGGAAAGTATTCATAGCACTTCACTTTGTCCACATTTTTTATGTTACAGGCTACAGCCTTATTCCAAAATGGATTAAATTAATTTATTTCCCCAGAATTCTACACAAAATGCCCCAAATGTCCATGTGAAAAAAGAGTTTTTGATATTGTTGCAAATTTATTAAAAATAAAAACTGAAAAATCACATATACATAAGTATTCAAAGCCTTTGCTCAATACTTTGTTGATGCATCTTTGGCAGCAATTACAGCCTATTTGAATATGATGCCACAAGCTTACCAAACCTGTCTTTGGGAATTTTTGCCCATTACTCTTTGCAGTACCTCTCAAGCTCTATCAGGTTGGATGGGAAGTGATAGTCTAAAGCCATTTTCAGATCTGTCCAGAGATGTTCAATAGGATTTAGGTCTGGACTCTGGCTGGGCCACTCAGGTACATTCAACAAGTTCTTGTGAAGCCACTCCATTGATATTTCGGTGGTGTGCTTTGGGTCATTGTCCTGCTGGAAGATGAACCCCCACCCTAGTCTGAGGTCAAGAACACTCTGAAACAGGTTTTCATTCAGGATGTCCCTGTACGTTGCTGCATTCATCTTTCTCTCTATTCTGACTAGTCTTCCAGTTCCTGCTGCTCAAAAACATCCCCATAGCATGATGCTGCCACCACTATGCTTCACTGTAGGGATGGTATTATCCTGGTGATGAGTGGTGTTTAGTTTTCTTCAAAAGTAATGCCTAGCACATACTCCAAAGAGTTGAATCTTAGTCTCATCAGACCGGAGAATTTTATTTCTTATGAGTCTGAGAGTCCTTCCGATGCCTTATTGCAAATTCCTGGTGAGGAGTAGCTTTCGTCTGGCCACTCTACCATACAGGCCTGATTGGTGGATTTCTGCACAGATGGTCATCCTTCTGTAAGGTTCTCGTCTCTCCGAAGAAGAATGGTGGAGCTCAGACAGAGTGACCTTCGGGTTATTGATCACCTCCTTGACCAAGACCCTTCTCCCCTTATCGCTCAGCTTAGATGGCCGGCCAGGTCTAGGAAGAGTCCTGGTGGTTCCAAACATCTTCACCTCATAGATGATGGTGGCCACTTTGCTCAATGGAACTTTCAGAGAAGCAAAAAAAAAAAAAAAACTAATTCTGTAACCTTCCCCTGCCTTGTGCCTCGAGTAAGTCCTGTCTTTGTCTACAGACAATTCCTTTGTCTTCATGCTTAGTTTGTGCTTTGACATGCACTGTCAACTCTGGGACCCTATATAGACAGGTGTATGCCTTTTCAAATCATGTCCAATCAACTAAATTTACCACAGGTGAACTCCAATTAAGCTGCTGAAACAACTTAAGAATGATCAGTGGAAACAGAATGTACCTGAGCTCAAGTTAGAGCTTTGTGGCAAAGACAGTGAATACGTATGCATGTGATTTTTCAGGTTTTTTATATTTAATAAATTTGCAACAATTTCAAAAAACCTTTTTTTCACATTGTCATCATGGGGTATTGTGTGTAAAATTTTGAAGAAATATATAAATCACAGTTCTTTAGTCTGCCTATTCTGTTCTGGTTGTTAGGTAGATTTCATGCATAATATGCATGCATATTACAATAGTCTTCAGTCTTTAAAAATAGATTTTTTGTAGTTTCAAGGGGATGTATAATGTCAAGTTCCCATTTCAAGTTTAATCTTATTACCAAAATGCATGAAAACATTCTTTAGCTGAAAACTTATGGACGCATGGATTTGGTTCTTGGAGTCTTAAAAATGTTTTTCTTCACCCCCTTAGGTCTATCACCACTTCCTACTATCGCAACTCTGTGGGCGGTCTCTTAGTTTTTGATCTGACGAACAGGAAGACCTTTGATCATGTGCGGGAATGGCACCGAGAAGTCAGCGAGCACATCCTGCCTCATCACATGGTCTACATCCTGATCGGCCACAAGAGCGACCTGAGCCGCGATCGCAAGGTGACACGAGATGAGGCCGAGCAGCTAGCGGCCGATCTCGGAATCCGCTATGTGGAAACATCAGCCAAATGCAACAGCAATGTGGAACGTGCTTTCGAGCTGCTCACACGGGACATTTATGAGCTGATGAAGATGGGTGAGATCTCCACTCGTGACGGCTGGGATGGGGTCAAGAGTGGCCTCACTGCCAAAGTTCTTTATCCAGCTGAGGAGGAAGCGGAGCGAGAAAAGAGCTGCAACTGCTGACTTCCACAATCCACCTGTAATTGCACCTGTGTTTCAGTTGGTCGTCGCTCACCTTGGCTTTCACCAGTGTGTCGCATCATGGTCACTGCCTCAGGGCCTGGACCGCTGCACGTACCTTCTTGTTGATGTTTGAGGTTGATGGTATAAGCCACTCAAAGGTGTAGTATATGTGGGCTTGAATGGTCCTCTTCATATTGTTGGAGATCACCCTATGTTTTCAAGTCTTGTGGATAACATGGATAAACATTTTTTAAGCTCTATCCCATTGTACTTCACATCCTCTGGAGTTTAGTCTTCTTTCTTTCCCTTTTAACATTATTACTGTGGTACAGTTAACGTCTAAAAAAAAATTACCCTTCCATTTACTTAGAGATTTAAAGATCCCATAAAATAACATAACATTGGGATTTTTCCCCCTTTTGTGATGACATTTCTTATTGAAACAGAAAATTTAAGCTGGAGATGTAGCATAATGTCTCTTAAAATCTAGAATTAAAACATTTTGTTAGTGCAGTGAACCTTGGTTTGCCACAATAAATTAGGTGAAAAGGGGAAATATATATTTTGGTTCCTTTCCCCTAAAGCAAATTACTGTAAAATGTCTTTAATGGTTTTTAGGAGTGCATATAACATCTATATGCCTTCAAACCTAAGAGACATGAACGTAAACCACAAATCTCTTGATTCTATGTCTCTTTTGGGAGATTAAGATCTGTTGTAGGTTGGTATGGATGTAATTTCTGCATAAAACTCCTTTCTAATTGATTGATCGGTCTTTGTATGTAATTTTGCACAATATACAATAATCCCTTTTTTGTTACAGCCCAAGTTCTAGAGACATTGTTTGTATAGAGTTAGGAAAGAATAATGAATGCAGCCTATTGTAAAATGTCACCTTGCCCGTGGATATGTGAGTAATAACTACTAGTTATCTGTTCTCTAAAAGAATACACAGCATACATCACATTTCATATGCTCTCTTCTAAAACCCAGTGATCTGCTCACCTAGACAAGATTTTAGTGCTTCACAGATGGACACAATGCTGTTTTAAAATGCTAGTCAGCAACATTGTGCTGCTTTCTAAGACATTTTGGCAGCATCAGGTGTATCATCCTAGATTTCATGAAGTCAAAAGAAATGTTACCAATATAAGTATATCTAATCCAATACTTTAAAACAGCAATCTGATTAAACTGTTTTACTCAGCAGATGTGTGTACTATGTGTTTTTGTGCTTGGTAGTGCATCACATCATTAGCCTAGCTACATCCCAATGACCGTCTAACAAATTGCTTCCTATGAATAGTATGAGGGTTCTATTGTTTAGGATGTAACCTTAAATTTATAAACTTGCAGCATCTGCATATAGCCAGTCAAAATATGCTCCATTTGATATCATGCAGAAGACTAAAAAATAATGACAATGTATCTTCAATCTTTTCAATGTACAGTTGAAAAGTGAAGAAAAAATTGGCTGCTACCATCTTGTCATTCTTGCCACAATCATATCAACCTGCAGCCCAAGACTGGTTACTCACTAAGCAGGACTGAGCCTTGTCAGTACCTGGATGGGAGATCACATGGGCAAACTAGGTTGCTGTTGGAACTGGTGTTAGTGAGGCCAGCAGGGGGCACTCAACCTGCGGTCTGTGTAAGTCTTATTGCCCCTGGAAAGTGATTGGGACACTATACTGTCAGTGAGTGCTGTCGGTAAACCGAGGTCCTGACTCGTTGTGGTCAGTAAAATTCCCATGGCACTTCTCGTAATGAGTGTAACCCCGGTGTCTTGCCCAAATTCCCTCCATCGGTGATACCCATAATGGCCTCCCAATAATCCCCTTTGACTGAATTGGCTTTATCACTGTCTCTCCACTGCACCTATAGCTGGTGTGTGGTGAGCACACTGGGGGCTGTTGTTGCATCATCCAAGTGGATGCTGTACAGTGGTGGTTGTGTGGAGAGCCCCCCTCATGTTTGTGTAGTGCTTTGGGGGTATGGCCATAGAAATTTTCAATACATCTTGCGCTGAGGATGTCATTTGGAGCCCAAGTCTGCTCAGTAGCTACTGTGAAGTGAAATCAAGGTCCAGTCCTCACTTAAGTAATATCACATAATTAATAACAATAAAAAAAACTTAAGCTTTATTTTATTATCTAGCCAGCCAATAACAATTATTTAATTTGTTAAACAAACTGCAATGATATTTTATATCTTTTTTACTTTAAAAATGTGCCCACAACCACACCTTTGTGTTTGCTAAATGCATCCTAGATGTGGAGACTGAACTATCAAAGTTTTCCATTTTGTGTGTTGCAGCTTATAAGCAAACAACAACAAAAAAAGCACACACTGTATGAATATGCTTATAAAGCATATATACTTAGACCTTGACCTAGACACTGAGGTAGCTCACTAGGGTTTGGAACAGAGCTGTAAAGAACTAAATGTAGCTCAATACACAGAATACGCCATATATTGAATTATCAATAATTATCAAAACTCTAGATTTATGATCTTCACTAAGCAAAACTAAACAAACTAATCACAGCACCATCTTCTGTATGTGAATTACCAGCCTGAACTCACGTGAAAACACCACTGCATTATGTTTTGTCAGTTTAGTGACTAGTTCATAGAAATTTATAAATGTTCAGTCATACGATTGTTAAAAAGTGGCCTAGCACCAAAGCCCACCCCAAAATCCAACTGTCAAATCGTACTAAATAGGGTATATGCACAACTAGTGTTTCTTCATACTTCCGGTAAACGATTAATGTGATTTTTTTTCAATTATATAAGGTTCCATTAACAGCATTGATGTTGTAATGTAATTAAAATACTATCAGTTAAATAGACTTAGGCATTCATTTAGCAGTTCAATCGTAAAACGAGATGAAAAGCTGTTTACACACGCAGCCGTCACGATCAGCAAGCAAGCACAGAAAGTCCCTTGAATGCACTGAAGTAAAATAAATGTTCATATTATAAAGACATTGAGCTGGAAAATTTAATTTAATGCAGTGCTTCTTGTACAATTTAAGACCCTCTTTATATCGTATATCAATCAGGCAGTTGAGATCGTTGATTTTTTAAAGAATTCCCCCTTAACGTGCTGATTTTGTAACTGCATACAGTTAACCGGAAGTGCCTGACCTAGGTTACTACAAAATTAAAAGTCCTTCTGCATACTTCTGCATATACCCTTTTGTACTAATGAGATCATGCAAATACATTAAAATTATCTACCAAATTAAAAAGTTTTGAATTGCTGTGAGATAGCGTCGATATTACAATTTCCAACAGCAGCAATTTAACAGGAAATATTACTGTAGGAGGGACCCAAGCATATCTATAAACCTTAATATCATAGAGACCCTTAAGTGGGCTTTTTTGACTTTTGCTAACCACTTATGCCCCTTTCACACAGCGATACCGGTAAATATCTGGAAAATTTCCGGAACGACTTTACCGGTATATTCAAAAAAGCGCTGTTCACACAGGCGAGGACGTTACGGAAATTTTCCGGAAAAGAGCATTCACACATCCATTCCAAAATACCGGTAAATTCTGACATCATTCACCACAAATGAGCTTTAAACGGCTGCGCTTGTGTTTGTAAACATTTGACTAAATCACAAACTCTGTGGATGATCAATATTGTGAACAACTTTTGCAGGATCACTTTCGCATGTCGAAATGTTCATAATATGTGCGTGTTCAGGCGCTCACAGGCTGTTCATGGGCACACGCAAAGCTTGAAGGTAAACAAACAACGGCTTATCATAAGCATCTCATCGATGATTATTTACACAGTTGGCATTAAGAAGAACATATAAACGTGATCTGACTAACTTCTAGCAGCTAAATGTGTCTGGAAAAATATTCAAAGGCTTTTATTCTCACAAACCGCGCGGACGTGAATGCGTCTGACTGTTGTGATTGGCTAAAGCGGACGTTTCACGTCAGCACGTTCTAGACGTGCACGCGCTTATTACGGGAATCTTCCTTCTGCATTCACACAGCGCAGCATTCCGGCAAATTGCCGGTAATCTTACAACTTCTCTTTCCGGAAAATAGCCAGAACGAATTTACCGGTATTTTCAAAAAGGACCTGTTCACACATACAACCTTTCCGGAAAATTGCCGGCAATTTTCCGGAAAGGTCCGTATGTGTGAAAGGGGCTTTAGTCATGCTTTCAAATAACTAAATATAGCAGCAATGCCCCTGCAGCCGCTCACAAGCGCTTTTCAAAATGTACTTTCTTTTATTTTCTGAACTCACCAACATTAAGATTTTGATACCGTCAGCATCGATCATGTTTCAGGCACTGAGTACATAAGAAGCCAAAAGTGTCTCTGAGTAGCCCAGACAATGCACTTCCGATCAGGACAGAGCCTGAACAGATATAAGACACTCCATTTCACCAGCATGTCAGCAAGACTTGAGTTATGCCGGCTGTAAAGAGATTTAGCATCCAGCATAGCTAAGCGTCTTAAGCTCTATCATGTGCTGTTGGCTTTAATGGGTGCGCGTGTCTGTATGCACAACAAAATGTATTGTAAATAGCAGGAGGGCACCATGTACTTAAATGTCAGGTGAGGCTTTGGTGGAAGCTAAAGGTTTATGTGGTTTAGCCTTATATAGTACACATACTTAGTGGGTAATTCAGAGCCATTGTGGGAATAGAATATGTGACCATGGACCACAAAAAGAGTTATTAGTCATAATAAAAAATCAGTTTTTAATGTTTCTATAACATCTGAAAGCTGAATATACAATTTTAAAATTGATGTATACATTTTAATATAGGACAATATTTGGGTGAGATACAACTATTTGCATCTGAAATATTTACATCTAAAGTCTTAAGGCAATCTGAAAAAGAAATTACTGGGAAAATTGCCTTTAAAGTTGTACAAATGAAGTTCTTAGGAATGCAACATTTGGGCTTTGGTATATTTACAGTAGAAAATTTATTAAATATCTTAATGGAAAATGATCTTAAGGTTCTAATAAGTTTTGGCTTGAAAGGAAAGTTGCTCGTTTTGACCCATACAATGTATTTTTAATTTATCAATGCAAAGTAAGACATTTTTTGTGGTCCATGGTCACATACAGGAAACTATTTTCTGTGCCAGCAGAACATTGTAACTGCACATCTTTTGATTTTAAAGATTTTCAGAAAATGCCAAATTAACTTCTATGTAACATATACAGTAGAGAGAGAGTCATACTTTAAGTGTTTAAATGCAAAAAAAGGCTAAATGCAATCCGAAATGTTCTACTATTTCATTTTAAAGGTAACAAAAAGAACCCATTCATCACCATAAAAATTATA